TACGTAAATAATCTTGAATACATAAATTATTCATTAAAACAGAGAGATTTTTATCATGTATTTCATAATATATTTCCATATATTTTTATTGGAGCACAGATTTAAAAAAATACTACTATTCATTAAAATAACTTATGATCCAAATAGTAAATCGTCAAATTTGTCGTATTATTTTTAAATGTGATTTAGAATAATCTGTATTTTTTTCATAATTTTGTTATTGTATCATTTTGAAAATATGTATAAAATATCCTTAATTGCAAAAAACTTTTGTATATGAATAGTGATATTGTGTAGAAACTGCAAGAGTGATTTTTTTAAGTGACTATGTACATACAGGGTGCATCACCAAAATCCGGACAAATTTCAATTTAAATTTTCCGCTATATTGTACCTCCGCCAGAGATTATTATTAGCGTCCGAGAAAGTCTGATATTTCTAGTAAACAGTTCTCAAAATAACCACGATGTTGAAACCAAGTGTGAAATATAATCGAAGAGCCGCGATCGAAGGCCTTCATACTGGGTGCTCAGCAACGGAAATAATTCAGTTCTTTGGATAGAGAGATCAATCGTTTATGATGTTGTGGCAAAATATACGACTTTAGAACAGTCCAACGAAGATTCCAGTATGCCCACGAGGACAAATCACTCGAAAGAATGCACCGCGAAGACGCCCCGCAGTTGTTGAAAGGGCTCAAGCGCTGATTTCGGACTCAGGGCAATCGTTGCGCGTTCTAATGGATGTAGTGAAGCCGTGGATGAAAACTGTGGCGTCCGGAAGGCCATATGTTTTTCAACAGAACGGTGCACCAGTTATTTGATTTAAAATTGGCTCTCAGACAACGTCGATATGTTTTGGTCCAAGAAATTCTGGCCTCCCAACAGTCCAGATTTAAATCCCTTCAACTACTGGAGCGTAGTTGAAAGAATCACAAACAAGCCTCGGCATCCCGTGTAATATGTGTCATTAAGGACTGTTAGAGACAGTATTCGTCGGACAGCGCTACATTACAGTGTATGCGAACGTTCAGATCGAGAATAGAAGCCGTCATTCAAGCTAATGGGGAATATATAGTATCAAATAATTGTGCTCTACAGGGATCCCCCAAGTGCCATGTAAAAAGATTTTTTGTAATATTTAATTTTTCATTAAAATATTTTGTTTAAAGAAATTGTTCGATTTGTCTGGATTTTAGTGACGTATATGCTCTATATATAATTGTACATATAATATGATTAATTAATCAAAAGTTAGCAATATGATAATTATTTCTGAGAAATATTTTAAGTTTATTTCAATAAGTTTTGTAATCTATAAACAGATCACAAAAGTCTTAATAAATTTTAAGTACTTTAAAAATGATATTTAAATATATGTTTAATTAATACTTAAATAATTTTTAAATTTATTGTCGATAATAATAAATTTAAATATTATTTAAGCATCACTCAAGTATATTTAAATATCATTTTTGTAATACTAGAAGTAGCTGAAATCTTTTTTATAATATTTCAAAAAGATTGCAAATTCTTTCTGTAACATTTCATCAATCTTTCAATAAGATTTCATGCGCAAGTACCGCGGACATTTTACTATTCCAGAACTGTCTCAGAAATGTTGCAGATATATTTCGCAATTTTTATGAAATGTTTCACTTTTCAGTTGAAATATTTCTGAAAACTTTCGATGATGTATTCCGGAAGTTTTATGCACGCAGTGAGATTTTGCTATACCGTCTCAAAAAAGTGGTAAAACCAGTGCAACATTTAAAATTTGAAAATGGAAGTTGATAGCAGGATTTTAGCATGATAATGAAGTAGTGTATACCATAGTATGCACTCCAACACTCCAGTACAGTGCAGCTGCTTATATGCTGCTGATGAGGCAAACACAAAGTAAAAAATAAGGAGATTCAACTTGAATAGCGCGCGAAAAAAAGTGGAATCGGTTTGTGCATGAATTGGGAGGAAGTCTGCTGAGAAGAATAACCTAATTTGGACTCTATGTTTAAAAAAGCAGTCAGCTGTACCAGTTGTACACAAAGTAACCCTCTTATTTCGTAACAAGAGACATCAGCAGGCCTATTCTGTAACTCTTAACTGCTCTTAACACAAGTTTCATTATTGCTATAATGCTGTTGGGTAGCTTTTTTACCATAGTAAGAGAGCTATGTAGCGCGGCGTTATAATGATATCGATATTTGCGTTAAGAATTACAGAATAGGCCCGCAGATACTGATAAAAATGAATAAAAGATATAAAGTCAGCAAATAAATGATCTGTTTCTGTTTCTGCACTAGACTACTCTAGAATTCTCTTTCTCGCTTTCGACTCGCTTTCGACAAAATATCGATATGAAACATAAAATATTTCACTTTAAGTTTCAAAAGTATATACTAATTCAGCCAGAGCTAAAATGAGATAGCGGATTCTCTCCCAATTCGGCTCATGAAACGATTCCACATTTTCACGAAGTTGAGTCTCCTTACTTCGTCTCAAACTGCGGTGTCGCGGAACGAAAGCGACATCTCGATCGAATTAATTCAGATGATCACTTTTGAACACACTTTTTGATCCATATAAGTTCGATCTCCTTAATCTCTATCCTCCATGGGTGCAAGGCTTCACCTATGGAGGATAGAGACTAAGGAGACTGAACTTATATGGAGAAGAGTTTTGCGATTCGAACGTCGCCTACCGAGCACTAATATCAATTCAGAATTTGATTTTGATCACACTTTTCAAATCCTAGTTCGCTCTCCTTAGTCTTTATCTTCTAGGACTTCATCTAATGTATCTCAAGGGAAAATGCTATATATTCGTCATTTCTTCCATAGTTGTGCCGATTTTTCTCGCCACTTGTTAAAGTGACCGCGTTCAGCAGAAAATTTATTTTGTAACTATTGGAAATTTTTTTCATCTAGGATTATACTTTTAGAAAATATAATCTAAGAAAGAAGAAAATTTCCAACAATTGCAAAATAAACATTCTGCTACAATGCAGCCAATATATCCTGAAAACAAGAGATCCCTAGCGATGGTTGTAATTCTGATTCAGAGTTTTGACATTTTAGGTTAGATTTGTCCACGTTACATGCTCCAAAATGCTCTAATATGCTCTAACAATGGTTTAGTTTACACCCAACAACCTGACTTGTATCCTGACCTATACCTTAACTTAAAGGAGCGTTATTCCATCTAAACTTATAATATTTTCTAATAGGGCCTAATATAGTAGCAATTAGTATCACGTGAATGCCATCTGCCAATATTTCTTTATTCTTCACGCCTTTAGGTCATCTACATACATTTATGCGTTAAAGATGGTTGCGTCGTGCGGCCTAAGAGAGATCAGGGATCTTGAAAAAGATCCCTCATTTACCCTAAGCGAAGTTACAACTATTTACACCGTTGTGACCTGTCGTCGTGTTTAGGTTAGATTTAGAATATAGATAGCGGCTTAAACGTAGAGTGTAAACTAGACCAATAACTCCCATGCCTACTGCACACTAGACGCGATGAACGATGAACGACGAACGATATCCAATAAAAGCTCTGCTTTTTTGTGACGATGTAAAGCAGAGTTCTCATTGGATCGCCCGTCGCTCATCTCTTATCGCGTTCAGTGTGCAATAGACATTATTCACTCCAACGTGCTTGTTAGAGTGAATAGGAGAGTGAGGAGGATGCGAACAAACTTTTTGACATGTTCCATAAAAAATGTTCTCGTTCTTGTTCAAAAATCTCTTTTATTTCCGCATACAAGTTTGCTGCACGCGTAAACGGGAATGTCATGAGGTAATAATATTATTTTTTTCATCTTTTTTTAGCTCAATTACTAGGCTTATTTGTTTTAATCCTATTTTATTTATATTGTATGTTTAAGAATAAATTTTACTTATTACCTTCGGTGATTTAGATTGTACAAAAGGTGTATTCAACAAGTTTTTATCAAAATAGTAGAATAGAAACTTTGTATTGAAAATATATATCTTTGGAAATTTAGATACAAGATTTCATAGGTAATAGTATAAAATAAAATTTATAAATAAAAAGTAACAAAAATTAATAATGATGTTAAAATAATGATGTTTTTATTTGATCTTTAAAAGAATATTTTATATTTTTTTAACTGTAAAAAATTATCACTTGTATATAATATAGTGAATAATATGCAATATATATAAGTTTAATTATATTAACATTATATTGTAATAGCATGTCATAACATCGTTTGTATAAAAATTCACAGATGAAATAAAAAAACAAATATTTGTATAGAGATTATATAAAAAATATACAAATTAATAAATCGGCATAAAAATATATGTACACATTAAGAATAAACTTTATTTTGTGCATAAGATCTTAATTTAATAAATTATAAATATAAAAAATTAACAATTATTTTACGATTATCTGTATAATTATAAACAAAGACATATATTACTATGGAAGAACTTTTATAAAATTTACAAGTATTTCATGATAAACAATTTTTGCGACTATATGAGACTTTCTTTATTTTAGGTTTTCTTTTATTCCAAGCAAACTTATCCTATTAGCTTGTGCTGCTCTTTTGTTGTTCTCTTAATATTCATACTTTCCATGTGACTAAAATGAATTAGACCAATTAGACCAATTAGAATTAGAAAATGAGTGAGAGACAAAATGCATGACAATATTCATTTCGCGCACCTGCTATTAGAATCAAAATAATGAGTATTGAAAAAGGAAATCATTGAATAGAAAAAATGCTCGATCCCGATAATCTTGGAATTAACCGTACTTAATAAATTCATCACATTAAGGTTCTCGAACCTTTCTTTGGTCTTATTCAAGTATATTTCTGTGCTTTTAATAAATTTTATGCAGATAAGTATGATTTATACATAAAGTATTCTGTCAAGGGCACTTCCTTCAAACTCTTAGATTCATAAGTGATTGATAATTAGTGAATGCAAAAATGCGTCGAGAATTGCTTAATAACATACTCACACATCATTCGTTATCCGTAGTGTCTTCAATGACAGAATCCCAATTAAATTCTGTGGCACTTTGCCTCAATGGCAATTCACCAAGGTGTTGGAATCGTTGTACGAAATGTGGATCACGATCTCTAAGCCGTTTAAATCTTTGAAAAGCAAGATTCTTTGCAAATTCGTAGAGTTCTAGATCCAGACTGTTGAGTTTACGTACGGCATCTAATTGTTCTGTACTGAGGGTTGCCATAGTGGCTGCACTAAGTGTGGCATTATGCTGCTCAAATGCAACCGCAAATCGCATTTTAAATGTTTCTTCGAAGGTGTACTGCCCCACCTGACACATAAATAAAGTTTATCGTTAGTACATATGAAGTAAAATATAAGAGAAATATAGAGTAAAATATAAAAGTAAAATATAATTATCAATTTTGATAATTATAAGATAATTATCAGATAATTATAAGATAAATGTTCACATAAGATCAACCTCCTTCATAAATGAATGACCTTGACATGTTATCAAGGACATATTTTTTTAATTCCTTTCATTCCTTACAATATTGTAAACTTTTATTCCTACATCATGTTCATGAATTGACTGTATTGACTGAATTGACTTTATGTAAATATTTATGACTGTTTTCCTCTTAATAATATTTGGGAGTAATAGATTTATTCCAAACAACCCATTGGATAAATATTTACATTAGCTCAATATCTTCAAAAGTCAATGACTTAATATATAGGGAATCCCAGAATGACTGTCAAATATTTCATATTGTGCTAATAGAGTGACTCAAATTAAGTCGAAAAGTCCTCTATTATTTTGCAATTTTCACAATAGTTAACAAGACATTAATTACTAAAAATCGCCGAATATTGATTTTCAATAATTTTTCAAATACTAGCAAAAAGAAACGCGGTAGTGTCTCGTGCCAAATATGCGCGCTCTTTGGGCGCAAGAGACACTACAATGTTTCTTTACTCGAACTGTTGACCGAAAACATTATAGTCATATACGGTGAACAAAATTTTTAATAGGCTCATTCGATTGGAATTCCATTGTTATGAAAGTGTCTTTATTTTTTTCTACGATGAATGTTAAAAAAGATAATTCAAATGATAATCTTAATTCCCTGATATAAAAAATATAATTATAATAAATTTGACTATTGGGAATTAGCGCTATATATGTGCACGATAAATTTCAATATTATTAAATTGTATTTTTCATATTTAATTACTAATTTATATACATGTTTCAGCTAACTTTTTAGCCATCTTTAGTACATACAGATGAATCCATATGATTAAGTAAACAATGAGATGCATAAGACTATGGTAGTCGCATGTTTTTCATCATTTTAGAATCTGCAATGTTTCCACGAGGTGATTAATCATCATTTCTTAGAGTGAAAACATAACCAGCTAGCTGAACGGTACAACCGTGATTAAGCACCTTCAAATTATATTCACAAAGTTTATTAATAAAACCTAAATATATACATTAGCAATAACAGTATTATCTCACATCAAACTTTGCCGATAAGCGTCAATGATATAAACAATTCAGTAAATTAATAATTAAAATAGTTTCAATAAATTATTGTTCGTATTAGAACATTGAAGTAAACTACTGTCTTGTTTAATTTAAACTATGAAACGTTAAGATTTTTTCGAAAGTTATTGCTGAGTGTTATGTATCTTAAATATTGTATCTTAAATATTTACGTAAAAAGAGAAAATTAAAGCTTCTTTAAGATCGATTCATATGTCTTATCCAAGAATTCTGTGTCTATAAATTAATGCCATTATTTTGTCGCTTTATATGTATAATTTCGAACATTAATCTTTTATTATAATTTTTTATTATAATTTCGTTCAGTGTCCAAAATTTCAATGTCATCCCAATCAAATTCATGAATGCAACCTATGCACAGTTATTACTAATTTTATGGTGGTTTCTTCTGATGGTTTTTGTGTTCGGTTATTCAAGTCTTTGGTTGCATGAGCATTTGTCCAACATAAGTTGCATTACAATCTTTGCATCTGATTTTGTAGATTACATTCTTCCTAGATAATTTTGGAACTGAATCTTTATGAGCTTTTAATATTATTGAGTTTGTTCATACTAAAGAAAAAAAAATCTCATATTTAAATCTTTGGTAATATGTTTAAATTTGTTCGAATTATTCATGATATTGTATTAGGTATACAACTTTGCTTCCGCCGTTTTCCTATAGATGACTTTAGCGATGGTGGTCGAAATAAATAGATCATAGACGTCATACAATAAACTTGGGCATCTGTCAACATAACCCCATAGAAACATTAGTCGATTTATGTCTGCATCATAAAGTTATTCTCGATTGAAAATGTCAGTTTACGAGCCAAATTCTCGTCATTTGCGGGAGGTTTTAATTTTTTGCTTCAATATGAAGAAATCTGCGACTGAGGCTCATCGAATGCTCTCAAATACTTATGGTGAGGCCGCTATTAAATGAAAGAACGTGTCGTGAGTGGTTTCAACGCTTCAAGAACGGTGATTTTGACGTCGAAGACCAGCATAGCGGTGGAAGAGAGAAGGTTTTCGAAGATTTGGAGATATTACTTGAGCAAGACTCGTGTCAAAATCAAGAAGAATTGGCACGATCATTGGGAGTGACTCAACAAGCCATTTCAAAACGCCTCAAAGCCATGGGAATGATTCAGAAGCAAGGAAATTGGGTGCCGTACGAATTGAAGTCGAGAGATGTTGAACGGCATTTGTTTGCTTGTGAACAGCTGCTTGAAAGGCAAAGACAGAAGGGATTTCTGCATCGCATTGTGACTGGGGACGAAAAATGGGTTCATTGATAATCCCAAGCGCAGAAAATCATGGGGAGTTCCCGGCCATGCTTCCACGTCGACGGCCAAATCGAATATTCACGGCTCCAAGGGTCATGCTCTGTATTTGGTGAGACCAGCTCGGCGTAGTGTATTATGAACTGTTAAAACCGACTGAAACAAGCGATCGGTATCGAACGCAATTGATGCGTTTGAGCCGAGCATTGAAAGACAAACGGCCACAATACAACGAGAGACACGATAAAGTGATTTTGCAGTATGACAATGCTCGACCCCATGTTGTGAAAGTGGTCAAGACATACTTGGAAACGTTGAAATGGGAAGTCCTATCCTACCCGCTGTATTCTCCAGACGTTGCTCCCTCTGACTATCACTTGTTTCGCTCAATGGCTTGGCTGACTAGCACTTCCGGTCTTATGAAGAAGTAAAAAATTGGATCGATTCGTGGATAGCTTCAAAAAATGACCAGTTTTTTCGACGCGGGATTCGTACGCTACCCGAAAGATGGGAGAAAGTAGTGGCCAGCGATGGACAATACTTTGAATCATAAATGTATAACCAGTTTTTTACAATAAAGTCTCGAATTTCGGAAAAAAACGGCGGAAGCAAAGTTGTATACTTAATAATAAGACTTTATTCTTTCAAATGCTTTTTATTCTATCAAATATGAATTTTAAAGAATAGTCATTTGTCTAAAAGAACTTTTATAATAAATTCAAAATTTTTTTCTATGGAATTCTATGTCTGATAAAAAAAAAATATTTACTAAACCTATTATCGCATCCTTCTTTTAAGAAAAAGAGTGTTGAAATAAACAATTGAGGTATCTTCCTAAGAATATTGGTTTTTGATACTATCAAATTTTATTATTGTTAGAGATGATTATGGTATCAAGAAAATGAATTCTGTCAGTATTACTTCAGGTATAAATTGTAATCTCGGATGGAATTTATCAAATACTACGTTTATCATTGTTGTCGGTATTGCCATGATTATGTCATCAACATATCTGTAGAAAAACGAAATATCACAATCTGTCTCAAGAATCTCTCTCTCCAAGTCTTGCACTAATCATGGTTATCACCGGGGAAAACGAGCCCATTGTGTGCCGAATTTAATGCAATTATCAAATGAAAAATATGTAGAATTAAATACAAATCGTATCGCCATTAAGAATTCGTCTATATGCTGCATTTTTTTTACATGACATCTATTTTTAATGCTCTCCACTGCTAGTTTTATGGGATTGGTAAAAACATGGAACATTGGTAAAAAGTGAGATTACATCAAGTGATATTAAGCTAATACTATTATTAATGTGTTTGCCTTTTAATTTGTTAACTAAATCTGTTGGAAAGGATGCGGAATATAACAGGATAGACGAAAACAATATCGTTAAATCACTACTGAGATTAATCTGGTTGACTATATTTAGTATGTCTATTTAGTTATGTCTATACAGGAGCTTCCCGTCTAACCCCATAACGATAATGATAGATATGAGTGACTCGATTGTAGAACCAACAGCGCCAGTTCGATCTCTGATCAATAATCGATTGCAGGGATAATCTAGTTCCATTGTAGATCGCCCAGTTGCTCCAACAAAATCGAAACTATTTTTTATGTGACTATTAATTTTTATTGTAACTATTGGTATATTATCATGTAATATCTTTTGTAGGAATTCAGCTAATTTATGTAGTGGATTGTTTATTGATGAGAGTATTACTCTAAAAGGGCAATCCGATTTGTGCACTTTCGGAAGACCATAAGCTAATAAAAGATATTTCAATTTTTATAAACAAATATAAAATGAAGCTCGAAAGAATTTATCAGTGAAAAATGTAAAATATCTTATTATCGTTTTATTACATTTATACGAAAACAAAAAAAATTTTCTGTGCATCCGAATAACTGATGTAGGTTCTGGGCTTTTTTACATTTTTCACTGATTCAATTTTTATGTAAAAATGGAATAAAATAAAATTAAGAATCGTCATCCAGTCAGTCATGCCTGCGGTCCTTTTTCAGATAATTATTGCTCGAATACACCTACACATATTCCTAATAGGTTGTCACCTGACAGACCTGGAAAACTGGGAAGTCAGGAAATTAAAATTGTTCATAGAAAATCGAGAAAAATAAGGGGAAAACATAAAAGAGATTAGAATTTTGAACTTTGCTAATTCTCTTAAACTGCTCCTATATATTCCAAATAATTTTTAGAATTTTTTAAATATTATATCTGACGTTTATCACATAGTCAAATATGTTCAAAACTCATGTACTTTAAACAATTTTAAAAAACCAATTAAAATTTATATTTTATTCAGTTTTTATTTGATTGCTCTTTTTGTCATAACTGTATTCTTTTTTTCAATACTATTTTATTTTTTAAATGTTCGAAGGTGGCTCAATAATACAAATATAAATAATAAGGAGCACACAGCCACGATCGATAATATATTTATTATTACATAAGAAAAC